TCCAGCGCCGCGCCCCACCACCGCGCGGACGCAGAAGAATGCGGCGAAGCGAAAGGCGGTCGCGGAGGAGGGCCCGCCAGGGAAGCGCCGCGTGTAGGAGCAGCAGCGGTAGGAGGAGGAGCCGCGCAGTGGAGAGGGTCATCCGGGAGGTGGCACGGCTGGCGGAGGAGAGGGTGGCGGAGGAGCAGAGGCCGGCAGCAGCGGTGGCGCGGCAGCGGAGCGGCCGCGGCGGCAGGAAAGGGAGAGGGCGGCAGCAGCGGAGAGGGTGGCAGCAGCGGAGAGGGCGGCAGAAGCGGAGAGGGCGGCAGCAGCGGCGAGGGCGAGGGAAGAGTTGGCGACGGTGGAAGAGGCGGCGGCACTCGCGCAGCTGCGGCGAAGGTCGCGTGGCGACAGCGGCGAGGGAGGCTGCTGCGAGGGCAGCCGAGGTCGCAGCAGGGCGCAAGCCAGGGGGGCACCGCCCAGGACTGGGAAAGGGAGGAGAGGACGAACAGGCAATGATGTGCGACTTTGTGACCCACCGTGACCGGACAGGATCACTACCGGGTAGGGCACGGCGCCAAACCTGCTTCCGGAACCATGCGTGGTGATTTGTCCATCACACCTGCGGCTTGGGCGAGGGGAGCCACGTGGGAAGTGAGAGCGCACGCACCACATCTGCATGACACATCTGCATCGGCATCTCGTGTGATCTCTTCTCGGCGGTGCCTGATCTCAGACAAAAACGAGGGCCCCCCACACCGGTGCGTGGTCGAGTCATTATAAGGAACCTGCCGCGGGGCTCGACCACGCACCAGGCAGGGGGGCCTGACCGAGGTGACTACCCGCGGCAGTATACTCTCTGGTCGCATCTAATCACCGATCGGCGGTGGCTTATACAAGCAGCTGCACGCCAAGCGGAGGCATACACGAGCAAACACCTATCGGCGCGAAACGCGTGAGCGAGCGGCGGTCAGAATACAGCGGGGCAGCCTAGAGAGAGGCACCCTCGAAGTTAGAGGCAGCCGACAGAGAGGCACCCTCGAAGTTAGAGGCAGCCGACACGTCGAGACTGCAGCGAGGCCGTATCACGAGCTAAGGTGCAGACCACGCTGGAGAGCGAGAAAGAGAGAGGGAGAGAGAGAAAGAGGGAGGGAGGGAGGGAGGGAGTGAGGGAGGGAGGGAGGGAGGGAGGGAGGGAGAGAGTGAGTGAGCGAGAGAGAGAGAGAGAGAAAGAGAGCGAGGCCGCACCTAGGGATCCCTACAGCGAAAGTTGCGGTTGATGCTCTGCGGTGTTGGAAACTGGTGGCAATCCCGAGCCCACAGCGCATCTCCCACCGACGTGATGAGACTCCTGAGACGAGAGCGGAGGGTGAGAGACAGAGCAAGGCAGGCTCGCCGGCTGCTGGCCGTGACGTGGCCAGCTGATGAGCTTTCGAAACTTACGTTTATTGTATTTTTGCTTGGGCGGACCTCATGCCGGGGTAGGTAGGGTATGTCTGCGCCCTCCCGTCGGGTTTTCCCCTCTCTTCACGCTGGAATTTTCACAGCAGAAAAAGAAAATTTCCGGGGAAATCACGATGTCAAACGGCCCCAAAAGGGTGATCTGATGCTTGTAGCATGTAGGGCCTGAGAGTGGCCTGCCATGTCACAGGAAGGACTGTGGTTGCAGGAGAGTACCACCATCCATCACTTTAGTTGGTATAGTACCCCACCTTCACCCCCGGTGATTTCTTTTTTAGTTTCCCATAAGTAGGGTAGGTAGGTAGGTAGGTAGGTAGGGGCAGGGCAGAGAGAGAGATTTTTAGCAATACCCACGTCTGGGCAGGGGCCGGCCAGGTTTTTGCAGAATTTCAGCATGAGGTCCGAGACTGCACTCCAAGTGCTCCAAGTGCTCCGAGCGGTCCGGCCAAGCAAGAAGTACCTAAACTCTTTGTAGAGATCGAAGTGGAAAAGAATTTTACAACCGGCCTGTCCTCGACCCAGCGCGAGCGATAGACTCGAGGGGCCAGGATATGCAGCAAGGAGGGTGGAGCTGCGCCGAGAGGCGAAAGAAGCCGAGAGAACAAGGGAACGGCAGGCGGCGGCGGCGGCGCAGAACGAGGCAGAGGAGAGCGACGCGACAGAGGAAGAAGCGACAAGAGAGAGAACGACGAGAGTGGGACGACCGAGAGGTGGCATGAAGGTCGCGGCAAGAATGGGAGAGAGACTGCGAAGTGAGATAGGAAGAGGCGGACGCCCAAGGGTGGGCGACGGCTAGCGCACCACACCCCTCTCCTTAAAATCCCTGTGTGGTGGCGGCGTGCCGTTCTCCCACCCCTCCCTTGGGGTGTCTGTTTTCTTTCTTTTTTTCAGCCCGAGCTTGGGATGTCCGTTGTATTTATTTATTTATACAGGGCACGTCCTTCCAAAATCCTGCTCGTGCAGGTGTGGACCCTGTCCTCCTCCCCTATCCTTCGTTTGGGTGGTTCTCTGTGTTCTTTCTTTCTTTTACACAGGGCACGGGACCGGCGCGCACTGGCACTAACACAGGTACACCAAGTGGAAAAGAATTTTATGTCCGAGCCGGGGGCACGACAGGCACACACATCCCTCGTTTGGGTTTGTCTGTTTTCTTTCTTTCTTTCTTTACGCGCACACACACGTCAAACACAAACAGGTATTGCTAAAAATCTCTCTCACACGTCAAAACATCTCTCTCTCTGTTGTGCGAGGCGTGAACCGCGCCATTCGCTCTCACCTGCGACCTGGCAACCCTGTCTGCACGTCTCGCGCGCGCGTGAACAGGGCCAACCGGGTAGCGGGGGGCTAAAACAGCGTCGACCGCACGGCCTACTCGCCCAAGTACTCGCTCTCTTTTATGTCCCACCATGCAGAGCGCATCTCTCTCTCTGTTGTGCGAGGCGTGAACCGCGCCATTCGCTCTCACCTGGCAACCCTGTCTGCACGTCTCGCGCGCGCGTGAACAGGGCGACCTCTCCGCAAGGCCCCCCGACCGCGTCGAACTCATCGGCGCGGGCTCTCTCGGCTACAGGTAGGACCGGCCCCAGCATCGGCTGAGGGCTGACAAGCTGCCGAGCCCACATTCGTGGACAAAGCAGATACCAGACGTCGGTTTCCCATAGGGTTTCTGCTGCGGTTTCCCATGGCGGTTTCCCATAGCCGAAAACCCAGGGGTCGGTCGGTTTCTGCGGCGCGCTCTGTTTTTTCTGGGATCTGTTTTCTGGGACACCCGCCTCGATTTCCCGTGGGATCTGCCTGTGGGTCTGGTTTCTGCGGTGTGAAGACATCTCCCGCTTCGTCCTAATGAGCTCATTCCGGCCAATGAACAGGTGTACCCCCTCCGATTTTTTTTTCAAATGGGAACCGCGAAAACGGAACGGGATCTGCGTTCTGGTTTCTGGTTTCTGCTCCGATTGGTCGCGACTGGTGATGAGTGTTAAGCTGAGGTTGTCAACGCCGGGTGCGGGCAATTCTCGGCACGGATCGGCACGTGTGGTAGCGTGCGATGAGGCCTTGCCAGCTCCTGGTGGTGCCCTCAAGATCGCCGCGCGCATTGGCCGCTCCGCCGACGTTGTGATAGAGCTTCTTTCTGTCTCCAACAGAGTAGATCCAAACACTCTATTGATAGGCGATAGGTACTCAAAACACTCGCACAACGCCTGCCTTTCACAGCTCAGCCTTTCAGGGCTTGGGCATGACAAGCAACGGCCCCGCCGGTCGGCGTCCGATGCACGAGGCAGCCATGTTGGCTGCCACGGCGTTTCCGCTCGGGATCGCGGCAGCCTGGCGGACTCGACCGCATCGCAGGCCTCCCTCCCGTGAGCCACAAAAGTGCGTGGCAGCGCGGCGCGCCGCCAACCTCGCTTTCGGAGCAGAAACCAGAAACCAGAAACCATAATGCCTGGAGCGATAAAACGGTTCCCCCCAAAGGGTTCCTCCCACCCAGAACATGCTGCTGTCTTAGTACTCCCGTTCGACCCATTCGGAATCCGATTAGTTAATGAAGGGTCATTCCGCCGGAATGACCCCTCCACGGGGAGATCGTTCACACCTCGAAAAACCAGAACCCAGAGTGTCTGGACCGATATTCCCATGGCCCGGATGTTTTCTGTGGGATATGTCGAAAAAGCAGAACACAGAGCTCCTCCTCCTAGAAGTCCGACGGTTTCTTGATAGCTGATATGCCAGGGAAGAGCCTGGTATCTCAGTATGTTATATCCTATGATATAACATAGTGGGATCTGGTTTGTCCACACCTCCGAGCCCAAATCACTGTGAGAGTCGTGACTCTTGTTGGGTAAGCACGTAAGTGGCGCACGTCGTGCGCCGTCGCGTCGTCTGAGTTGACAAGGTAAGGGGAATGATCAGAATGGCAAGGCTGGGAATGCGTTCTCCGAACGTTCAGAACACCGGCCACTGGGCCCGCCTGAGGCGCTGAGACCCGGAGCCTCTCTCTCTCTCCACTAGCAGCAGACAGGCACAACGACGAACAGCCCTTATATTGCAATAACCAATATACGGGACAGCCGCCCACTCAAAGCACTCACCACACGATTATGCCGCCTCCTATTCGTCATCCTCTTCAAAGCCGACAATGGCGTCGTCCACCGCCTTTTTCTCCGCCGTGCGGTACGGTACGCCTTGAGTGCCAGGTTCAGGTTCTGCTTGCCGCAGAGAGTTGTCGTACAGCTCCTCGAGCTCGACCCAGCGCGTATCAATGAAGCCGTCGTCATTCTCCGGGTATTTTTCGGGTATATATACCTGAGTACCTGAGAATTCTCGGGTATACCCGGGTTTTACCCGGCCGGCCACCTGGGTCGGTCCGAGGGTGTTCCAGGAATGATCAGAATGGCGAGGGCCAGAACGTGTCTAGTCAGAACGGACCCCAGTTGCCGTTCCTGGCAACTCAGCGCGTCGTGCGCCCTGGGTAGGGGCAAGGTCCCCCTCGGAAGCAAATGGTGCTGTTTGTTCTTGCGTGTTGCTGCTGCTCGCTGGTCTCGCCCCGGCGGCCGGCGCTCCGCATGAGCAAATCGAGCACGCCGTACGATACGGTGGCGGCTCCTCCCACCCGCTCCTCGTACGCGTCACTGTTGCAGCCACGGCGGCGGCGGCGGCAGCTGCATCTCTCGGCAGCTCCTGAAGATGACAGACCGCTGGTGCCCTTGTCGCCCGTGAGGCAAGCCGCGTGTGTCGGATCCCTCCTCGCGCTCTTCACCGTCAACCAGTGGTCCCGGTCCCTAATCTTTTACCTCGTCGACTTTACTGACCGCGCCGGCCAGCCCGCGGCGGCGGTGGCCGAGGCGTCGCGAGCTTTCATGAATGTGGAGCTGGGTTTCGACCAGGCGCAGTACGGGCTGTTGGCGTCCCTCGGCTTCGCTGCCGTCTTCTCGTTCGCCTCATTCCTCGCCGGCCTCGCCGTCGACAAGGCGGACGCCCGCACCCTGCTGCCCACCTCGGGCGTGCTCTGGTCGCTCGCCATGCTGTGGCAGGCGGCGGCCTCGAGCTTCGGCGACGTGCTCGGCTCGCGCTTCCTGCTTGGCTTCTCGCAGGCGTTTTGCAACCCCGCGGCCTACGTCGCCCTCGGCCGGATCTCCGCCCCCTCCTCGCGCGCCACCGTCCTCGGAGTCTACTCGTCGGGTGTCTACATCGGAGGCGGGCTGGCGGCGCTCTCCATCCTCCTCGACGGGCCACTCGGCTGGCGCGGCGTGTCGCAGCTCGCCGGCGCGACCGGCGTCGGCGTCGCCCTGATCGCCGCGGTCGCGCTGCCTTCCCTCCCGCCCGTGGCCAGCGAGGGCAGGGAGGAAGCGGCGGGAGAGGAGGCTGCGACGGCGCAGCAGGTTAGCGCCCTCTCCTCGCTGCGAGACGACCTGAGCGAGCTCCTCGCGCCGCCGGTCGTCCGCTGGCTCCTCGCCGCCTCCGCGCTCCGCTTCCTCGCCGGCTTCGCGCTCGGCGTGTGGGTTGTCCCCTTTTACCGAGGCGCCCCACCCCGCCGCAGCCAGCCGAGAGGAGCTGCAGTCTGCTGCTGAGCCCCGCCGCCGCATCAGGCGCCTTCCCCGACGAGATCGGCGCCCAGTTCGCGCTACTCAAGGCGTCCGTCAACGGCGTCGCCGGCGCCGCCTCTGCGCTCGGCGGCGGCGCCCTCGCAGACCGCCGCGGAGCCGCGGAGCCGAGGGCTCGCCAGTGGGTTCCTGCGGCCGGCTCTCTGGTCGCAGTGCCGTTTTGGCTGGCCGCGCTGAGCGCGCCGACGCTTCAGCTCTCCCTCGCCGCCCTCTTCCTCGAGTACCTTGCGGCGGAGAGCTGGTTCGGCCCGACGGTGGCTGCGCTGCAGGCGGCCACGCCGGCGCGGCTGCAGGGGCTGTCTCAAGGCGTGTTTTCGACGCTCACGCTGGTGGGAAACCTTGCGCCGCTCGCCATCGGTGTGCTGCTGAGAGACCAAGGCTTCGAGCTCGCGCCGACACTCGGGGTGCTCGTGTCGGTGCTCTACGTCGCCGCCGCCGCCGCATTTGTCGTCGCTGGCGAGGCTGGGCTCGAGGCCGGGCCGCCTGGGGCGATCAGCAGAGAGACTGCGCGAGATGGTTGACACGCCCACATGCCCTGCTTGTTACCAAAATCGAGAGACAATGCAACACTTATGCAGGGAAACTCATGTGCCACGCTCGTACGACCCGCTCGAGCCTCGACCGGACGGCCGGCCAAATAATTTATTAATTTAACTAAGGTGCTACGAGGGAGGGAGCAGGATGTTGCGGAGATCAGCAGGAGGATGTACGAAGAGATTAGGAGCAGCAGGGACCCGAGGGACCATGTGGAAGACGGCTAGTGCTAGTCCCCCATCTCGGGAGGACGACCCCGGCTAGTGGCCGACCACACCCACAAAGAACCCTTGCGACGCAACCCTGCACAAAGATCGCAAGGGCGGGGACCTGTTCCTTTTTACCCATCTCACAGTAAGTAGAGGTGTCCGTTATTTATTTATTTAGGTGGCCTCTGTGGCACTGTGGAGTGTGGTCTATGCGGGGCGGGGTGCGGCCGTACTACGCGCCGTGTACCAGAGATAAAGATAGAGAGAGGTTTAGAGAAGAGTTTCAAGAGTGCAGTGAGGCTGCCACGTGCCAGAGAGAGAGCAGAGATTAGAGAGCTCTCTCCCAGAGATTCGGCTCTTGGCTCCCGCTCTCCACCGGGGGCTCCTCTCTAGTCTCTTTGGACAGCACGGGTCCAGTCTACACACATCGCACACCCACGCTCTCCACTCTCGCGAAGAGCGGGCTGCCTATACTCGCGCACGCCAATTCCGCGTACGGTACCGCGACCGACCGCACCGTCATCAAGCACGAGTTTGGTTTCCGTCTCGCCCATATTTGTCGATGATGGCGCCGCTCAAGGTACTCACAAGGGGATCAAAGAGGCGCCGGGCAAACGGCTGCCTCCATCTGCCTTGACGACGCTGCTGCGGCCGGTGGAGCGCTCCGTAAACTCCGTCGCATTACGCGTCCGTGGAGACGCGGTGGGAGGAGAGGCCACTTTGGTGAGCTTGACTGGAGGTGCGACCGGTCGCTGGCTGCCGTTCGCCGAGCAAAAGTCGCAGCCCTTGCACTTGCATATCGTGCAGTGGAACTTGGCTGCCTTGACGAGGCAAAAGGGCTCGCACATTGTGACCGTCGCGTCGCCCTTTTTTGCAGGGGTGCAAGGTGCGCCGCGGGCGGGCGGCGCCGACGCGCCTGGCTCACTGTCCGTCACCTGACCAGCGCCGCTGAGAGAGGGAGTCTCGATGGCTGTGACAACGCTGGGAAGCGAATCGCTTGCGTTCATGAGCATCGTCGCATTCGCAAACACCGCTGTCGGGAAATCTGACCTGTGCGGAAGTGCATTGGCCGCGTGCCCACGGATCAGGCAATGCACTCCCGCGAGGCAGAGCCAAGCCGCTAGGATGAGGAAAATCATGCCGTAGACGGGGCGGACAGATGCGCGGAACGAGGCCACCTTCCGCAGTGCCACCTGCGCGTGTGAGCCGTGCTCCTTGCCTCGCGTCTCTGCTGGGGAGCAGCAGCCGCACCACCGGCGAACAAACCAGCCAACCCTCTCGGCACAGCTGCTGGTACTCCTGCCGAGCGCCTCGCTGGCGAGAGCTAGCTGGGCATGCGCACTGGGCAGACGACTCAGCTGGGGCGGGCTGCTGTTCTCGACATCTCCTGGATTCTTAGCCTCAAAGGCATGCGACAGCACCCCGACTGCGTCCGACGAAGCACGAAGCTGCACTTTGAGCCTGCCGCGCAGCTCTTGCAGCTGCCAGTCCCACTGCTCCTCCTCATTCTCGCCGCTCGCTGGGTCGACAGTGTTGGCGGCATCGGAAGGGGCGGGCGGGGGCGGGGCGGAATAGCGGCGGAACATCGGTCTGCCCGCCGAAGCCACACCGACCGCCGATGGCGGCGATGCATTCGTGAATTCGGAACTCTCCGGGGTCGATTGGGGGCGGGGGAGAGGGGGAGCGATTGAAAACCAACAAGAAATCACGATCACAGTCCTTTTTCTCTTGGGTGGCAGGGTGGATAAAGGGCGCGGAGATGAATTACTTTTTAAACTTCTTTTTCAGTAGCGCTTACGTACATTCTTTTTGGGCCCACAGGCTTGGGCCCACAGGCCTGTCTGGTATAGCCCCAGCCGACTCCGCGTGAACTCTCGAGGATCTCGAGTTGCGGAGCTGCTCGGTGCACCAACTCTGTTCACAGACCTTGTTATTCAGAAGGAATACGTCCTATGGCGCTTTGCGCTGGTCTATGAGAGGTTGAGGTGCGAGCCCCCGAGCCCTGGAGGCCCTGGGGATGGGTGGGGGGAGACTACCCGCACGGGGTGGGAGATATTGATTCACAGCCTTGTTAATTGAGAAGGAAATACGCGTCCTATGGCGCTGTGCGCTGGTCTGTGAGAGGTTGAGGTGCGAGCCCTGGAGGCTGGAGGCTGGAGGCCCTGGCTAGGGCCCTGGGGATGGGGGGAGCCACTACCCGCGGGCATAGAAGGCCCGCCCGCGCGCAGGGGGGTAGGACATTGAGACCGGTCATGAATGAGTGCGCGACACGCATGTTCTTTGCGCTGGGGTCTGTGAATGAGAAGAAAATACGTCCTATGGCGCTATGCGCTGGTCTTCACAGCCTTGTTATGAGAAGAAAATACGTCCTATGGCGCTATGCGCTGGTCTGTGAGAGGTTGAGGTGCGAGCCCTGGAGGCCCTTGGGGATGGGGGGAGACTACCCGCGGGCCTAGAAGGCCCGCGGCCGCGCGCTGGGGGGTGGGGCATTGAGACCGGTCATGAATGAGTGCGCGACACGCATGTTCTTTGCGCTGGTCTGTGAATGAGAAGAAAATACGTCCTATGGCGCTATGCGCTGGTCTTCACAGGATTCCTTCACAGAGGCCTTGTTATAAGAAGAAAATACGTCGTATGGCGCTATGCGCTGGGGGTCTGTGAGAGGTTGAGGTGCGAGCCCTGGAGGCCCTTGGGGATGGGGGGAGACTACCCGCGGGCCTAGAAGGCCCGCGCGCAGGGGGGTGGGGCATTGAGACCGGTCATGAATGAGTGCGCGACACGCATGTTGCGAGCAGTTCACAGCCTTGTTATTGAGAAGAAAATACCTCCCATGGCGCTGGTTCACAGCCTTGTTATTGAGAAGAAAATACGTCCTATTCACACCCAGCAGGGCGAGGATTGGCTATCGGCCGCCCCCCCCCACAGCCCGGGTGCAGGCGCGTCCTTCGGACCCATGGGACTCCCGACGGAGGCCGCTCTCGTTGGCGCCGGTGCAGTGCCAGGCGCCATCCTCCGCTTCGGCGTGTCTGAAATCGCCAAGCAGCACAACGTTGGCCCCGCTGCGATCCTCGCACTGAACGTCGTCGGAAGCTTTGCGCTCGGGAGCTTGGCTGGAAACGGAGCAGCCAGGTGATCTGCGAGCCCACACATGTCTGCAAGACACACGCAACTCCGTCATGCTTATTTCAGGCGGGCGAACCTTCTGCTCGGCGTTGGATTCTGCGGCGCCTTCACCACCTTCTCCACCTTCTCCGTGGACACACTCACAATGCTGCAGCGCGGACAGAATTCACGCGCGGCCGCCTATGTCCTCTGCTCCAACCTCTTGTCTATCGGCGCTGCTGCCGCTGGCCACCGGCTCACCCTACCGCCGCCGATTCTGCGGGCACTGCGGCCGCCAGGCGGGTAGTCCGAGACGGGACGAGACTCCAAGATTGTTTTTGCCAGCAGCGAAAACAAGACGGGAAGCGAGCTCTCACGCCGCGCGTAGGGCCTCTAGGGTCCAGGGAACACACACATTCTCTCTCTGGAACCCGTCCCTTTTACACACCATCACCAAGACTCGTGCACATGGCTAATCCGCTATTCATCTCGTCTCATAGTTGACTGTTCGTTTTCGTAATCGTATTATTTATTCAATCATGTCACCTGAAACTGACACCTCACACACTGGTAGTGTCGCAGTCCTCGTCATCCATGCCTAGCCGTTGCACGGTGACCGCCGCGTCGCAGATCGTCGCAAGCACGCGGACGCCGTCCACTCTCACCGAGTACTCCGCACCGTCGCCGCCGTCGCGCCGCCAGCGGTAGAGCGGCCGAGGGTCCGCGGCGAGCGACTGCTCGAGCGTGCTCCGGAGAGAGGCGGCGTCGAGCAGTCCGGGCGTGTGGCTCTTGGAGGCAGCCGGCCGCAACCGCTCCAGCGCGGCGGTAGCCTCAGGCGTGAAGCGCACCGGCAGCGTGGGCGGGTCGACCCAGTCTGCGGTTCGGCATGTGGAGCCCGGCGCAGGCGCATCGTATGCGGGGATGTAGGGCTTCAAGTCGATGACTGGTGTGCCACTCACCAGATCGACACCGCTCAGCAGCACGGTGTCGCCCTGGATGCCGCGAAGCTGCACCAGCGAGAGGCCGAGAGGGTTCTGCCGGAAGGGCGAACGCGTGGCGAAGACACCGGTGCGGCCTCCTCGAAGGTGCGGCGCCTGCACCTTTGCACGCGCGGCAGCGTGGCCGTTGAGGTGAGCCGCCCACACGAGCCAGACGTGCGAGTAAGCCTCGAGGCCGTCGAGCGCTGCGCGTGCGTCGACGCCGTCCTCGAGCGTGTCGAGCTTGAGCCTCGCGAGTGCATCGGGGACGACCGCACCCTGCCGAGGCGTTGCGAACTTCTCCGTGAAGCACGTCTCGATGGTGCCGATCGGGCGCAGAGTGGGCCACGGCGCTCCCTGCCAGCAGCCTGCGGTCAGGACGAGGCAGGAGAGCATATACACACATGTATTAGGTCCCCTGTAGGCTTGTCTGCCGAAAGGACCCTGGCGTTTTGTTTTTTTTTGCTCACAAAGCGGGCGGCGTCTCGTGCTCGCAACCCTCTCCGAGGTCGTGCTTGACCGCCCTCGAGGTCGTGCTTGACCGCCCTCGAGGTCGTGCTTGACCGCCCGCCGGTCGCCGTCCCGGCGCGAGATGCAGCCGGGCTTGCCGTCGTCCAGCCCTTTTTGCTTTTCGGTTCGTCGTCAACGACGCGCCAGTCCTGGCGCAGCCGCCCCGCCGTGCGGACCACGGCCTTGCAGCCCGTCGACACGCGCCCGACGACGTGACCGCGGCCGAGATGGAGGCCTTTATGCATCACATCGAGTCGAGCTTGTACCAGCCGCCCGACGACAGCGACATCGCCCACGAGTTCACGGCGTGGCTGGCGGCGCGCCGCGAGACGTTGCGGGCCGCCGCCGGTGCAGGCTGCCGCCCTCGCGACTCGCAGGCCGACGTCGCCGCACCCGACGCCGCCGGCGCCGACGATTCGCGCCGACGCGCCTCGCGCCGCCGGCGAGCCCTCGCCCGACAACCCGACGGGGCGCGCGACTCTGCCCGCACCTGCGCCGGCGGCGGCGTCTGGCCGCCGCCGCCGCCGCCGCCGGAGCAAGCCGCTCGCCGGCGGCGGCGGCGACAAGGAGAACTCGGACGTCGAGATGGACGCGCTCATGGTCGAGAAACCCCGGCCTGCGGAGACGGAGCAGCGCTGGCGCGCCGTCCTTGCCGCGCGCCACGAGTCTTACGACCGGAACCTCGAGAAGGACAACCCGGAGCGGCCGTGGTACAACAAGCCACACTTCCAGGGCGACGTCGAGGCGGAGTGCAAGCTGTGGGCAAGGGTCTCGCGTGCGCTCGGCGAGGCATACGCGCGTGACCGCTGGGACATCTCGACCATCGAGTTTGACCCCAAGCAACCCGAGCCTCTAAGCCATGAGATCCCATTGAATTCTTTTTTATCCCCCTTCTTCACAGGCCGCTACGAAACCACGACGACACACACCAGTCGACTCGCATCGGTTGCCTCCATGAACGGCGGAGCTATTCTCGCGCCCACACCACACCTGGCTCCAACGTGGACACGCCCATAGTTGGGGACACTACTAGGTCACGCATGGCATCACAGCAGTTTTATCTCTGGGCCCCGGTCACACCCTTGTTACAGTTTGCGCGCTCCTTGCGGAGGGCTGAGAGCGCCTGCTTCAGGTCTTTGTTTTCGGCGCGTGAAGCTCGTCGGCAGTGTCCTTGTTGTGCTTGAGCGTGACCTGCGACTGCTCATAGAAGGCCTTGCGGTCGCCCTCGAGTAGCGCGAACCGCTGCTGCAGGTCCTCGAGCTCTTGCTCCATGCACGCGTCTGTGCGCGCGAGTCGAATAACGCAAAACGCGCCGCAGACTAGGTCCAGCCCTGGGTGGCATGGCGCATGGGTTGTGACATTTGGCGATTCCGCGGCTTACTGGGCCCCTGAGCCGCTCCCCGTGTGCGATTCTTGTGGCCCAGGCATGGTACTGATAGTAAACGGTTCAGAACCGGCCAAACACAGGCTACAGCCCCACACACGCGCCCGCCATAGCTCCTGGAGAGCATGCGCGAGTGACGCGCTACAAGCCGCGAGAGTGGCATCAGAGGCAGGAACGACGTGCTCTTGCTGCACCTCGCAGCTGCACCGAGTGTGCTCGCAGTGTATGCTACGGCCGCCGCCTACGGCATTGCTCTCGTGCAGCTAGGCGACGCAGGTCCATCAGCAGGGCATCCAATGCGAGCGCACATTGTGCGTAGCCGCGGGCAGGTGGCAGTGCACAGCCGCACACCGGCTCTGGCGGCTCGTATGCCCCCGGCAGTGCTGCTAGTCATTAACTTGCGTAATGGGGCCGCAGCAGGCTGCTGCTGTGGCAGCAGCAGCAGCCTGCTGCTGCCTGATTCAGTCAAGCCAGCGGCGCAGCGAGGCGTGCAGAATTCGCGTGGTTTTGTCCCTCCTGAGGCTGAGCGCATTCGAGCCCATCGACCGGAGTTGGATGGTACCACGCGTCTCACTGAGACGCGGGGTACTGGCCATGGCCGGACGGCCGAGCGTGAGGTGGCGAGCGGAGCGAGCGACAAAACAACGAGAAAAACACGGATATGACGGATGTCACAAAACGTCAGATCTGTGCCACCCTGGGCTGGACCTAGTCCGCACGCCGCGCCGTCCGGGACCAGAGTTGTAACCGAATGGAATACCCGCGAGACCTCGAGAGTCGTTTTTGCACTCTAATGACCTCTAATTTACATATGTATCACACACTCCGCTCGGTGGTCACACCCGAGTCAGGATGCTAACAGGCTGTGTCTCGCGGCTGCGACGCTCCGCGCGCCCAGGTGCGGCACCCCTTACTAGCATGCAGAACGCACCAGCCACAAGGGGCAGATGACTGCACAGCGCAATCAGCACGCAAGCAACCGCATTTAGTCCAAACCACCCGGGGTCCATCGCAAAGACGATGGTGGCGATGCTGACGAGCATGCAGAGGATCGCCTCGGAGGCGGAGCGGCACGCCGCCCACGCCAGCCCAAGGTCGTGATCGAGATCGCCCTCGAGCGTCCGGCGCCCAGCAGATGCCTTCGAGAGGAGCCGGGGGAAGCGGGTCGAGTCGGACGTGATGCCCAGCGAGCGGACTACCCCGCTGCCTCGCTCGAGCAGCAGGGCACTGAGGAAGGGGAATCCGGCGACGAGCCACGCGACCAGGGCGGTCAATGTTATGATCTGGGTGAGTGCTGACTGGTGGCCGAACATGCAGATAACGAACGCCATCAAGGAGACCATCGGACTCATCAAGAAGGTGAAATGTCCGCACACCAAACGTCGAGTCGACAGGAGCTCGATCACTTGGCGCTTGAACTCCGAGGACCGCACCATCTCGGTGAATGCGTCCAAGCCGCCCTCGTAGATGCCTGCGATCGCGGCCAGGATCTCCGCCCGGTCGGCCTGGCTCGAGCACCCGGCCTGGCTGGCATCAAACGACTCGAGCTGTCTCTGGAGCAAGCTCCGCTGCAGCTCGAGATTCGCTCCAAGGACGACCGTCATGAGGCTACACGCGAAAATTGCAACCCAGAAGGCGAACAGCGTCACGTAGGGATAGGGCGAGCTGGCCAGAGCGCTCAGGTCATCCCCGTAGAAGAGGGCGCAGCTCGACGGCCACACGGCCACGCCGGTGGCACTGAGCAGGACCATGAGGTACCCGACGGTGACGCTCGCGCGAAAGCGAAGCGGGAGGAAGAGAACTGGCCGGCGCGGGTTGAGGGCGCGGTAGACGGCGAGCTCATACACACACCAGAGACGAGTAAAGTACTGCTCGTCCCAAAGCGCCACAAACTGCGAGGAGATGGAGAGGAAGCCTCCAATGCTCCGGATGCCGAGCAGCTTCTTCTCCGAGTCGCACTGGTCGATGCACATGCCGTCGATGAAGTAGACGCGCTTGCACACACCCAGACACAGGGCGCCCGCGATGAAGGTTGCTAGCAGGCCGGAGAGAAACGCCAGCGGCGAGAAGACAAGTCGACTGTAGTGTTCGTCGTCGTCGTCCGGCGCCCACGTCGTCCAGATGTCACCCGGTAGTCCCCACGTCCGCTGGATGAGGATGGCGGCGATCGAAGTAGCGACCGCCGCGGCCATCGGAACGGCGCCCGTCTCCTCCAGCGAGAGGGCGATCCACTTGCGGCGGCCGCTGCTCGCCCAGCTGTGGCTGACAAACGCGTCGACGTCCTCAACCGTCATCGATCTCGCGTGCAGCTTTGCCCTCTCCTCCTCTGACAGTTTATCCGGGTTTGTGTCAAAGGCACACCGCCAGCGAGCGAGGGCGTTGCTCACGCGCACGCCTCGCCGCACCGAGCGAGGCGGGTGGAGCTCGGCGCTGGCAGCAATGTACTGCGAGATAACGCTGGCTTGCGCTACGCCTGATGGCTTTGAGTCGGAGGCGGAGGAGGAGCCCGCGACGGCGACGGACGTGGCCATCGTGGCGGCAGGGATGTCCTTGACCCAGCTGAAGCTCACCGCGAAACCTGAAAAAACATTTTCCGTCCTAACTTGGGTTGGACGTTTTCTTTCTTTCTTCTTCGATAATTCTTTTTAGTCTTTTTGGTTCGCATGGCTAGAGGTTGTCCTCCTACCTTGTGAATACATGTAATCATGATCTGGCCCGAAGGAGAGAAGAGTAAGTGACACATTTCTTGTTGGCTTCTAAAAATCTCTCTCTCGAAGGAGCCGCTCGTCTCTTGTCCGAGGCAGCAAACGCGCGTCCGCTAGCGCCGTTGAGCACTAGACAAATTTGACGTGAGGAGCGGGGAGGGTGTCTGTGGTGGGTTGTAGTCCTACTACGTGGTTACAACCACGCGCCCCTCAGGAGCTTAAGGTAGAGTGGAGCGTCCCAGACGCCTCGGTGCCTCCCACCAGGTGAGACCATCCGGATCTACCGGACGCGCCCTCCGGCGGGTCCGTCCCCGCGATGGCCCACGGTCCTCCGTCGCCAGGTCGAACCCCCTGCCTCCCGGTTGAACCCCCAGTCCTCGTACTCCACCATTATAAACTCAAAGGTCCACCACAGCCACCACCCTCCACCTCCACCATCGAGCCGCCACCGCTGCCGCCCTCGACGCCGCCCGCCGCGTCAGATGCCCGCGATGCGCGCGTCGAGCCGAGTCGCAGAGCCGCGCCGCACCAGCAGCAGCATCTGCAGCAGCAGCAGCCACCAGCAGCAGCAGCAGCACCAGAGAGAGGCGCGCACCTGCCGCTTTCACGCAGCCCGAGATCAGCCTGCACCAGTGTCACCCAGCTTGCACACAGCAGTGCAGGATGAGATGGGCGCAGAAGCGCTCGCAGAGCGGCGCGCAGCGCCGCGCACGCCACGCCGCGGGTGGTCGGACGACACACACACACACTCACACACTCGCTGCAACCTTCATGCCACCCCGCGGTCGTCCCACTCTCGTCGTTCTCTCTCTTGTCGCTTCTTCCTCTGTCGCGTCGCTCTCCTCTGCCTCGTCCTGCGACGGTGCCGCCGCCTGCCGCTCCCTTGCTCTCGCTCGGCGCAGCTCTGCCCGGGCACGTTATTCTTCTTTCCCGAGGACGGCCGTGTATCCGTCTGCGTTGCGCAGCGTCGCATGTGCGCCCGCCCGCAGCACATTGCGCACGACGGCAGGGTAGCGGCGGCCAGCGCCATCTCCGTCCTCTTCGCCGCTATCGCAGGCTCGCTGTGGTGGGCATCGGACGACGCAGCGGACCTCCGCCGTGGCAGATTTGCGCCGCAAGGGTTCATCGAGCCGCAAGCTGCCGGGCGCATGTATCTAGACAGTACCGCGCACGAGGATCTGCTATCTGCGGGCTTCTTCCACGCGCGCACCCTCGCCGACGGAGAGCAGTCACTTCGCATCTACACGAGGCTCGAGCCGGACTCGCTGCTCGGCATCCGGGCCAGCGGCACCGTGGGAGCCACCGCTGCCGAGGTGATATCGGTGCTGCGAGAGGTGGATCTGATCCCCGAGTGGAATAGATTCTGCGACTTTGGAATCTTGCTGCGCGTCCTTCGACAGAATGTGCTCTGGGCCTCCGCCGGCGTCCGCCTCCCGTGGCCCGTCCCGCCGCAGTCGCTGCTGGTCCGCGCCAAGGTTGAGGCCGACGCTACGAGGCCAGGCGCGATTCTGGCGGTGGCGCAGTCTGTCGACGCCAAGAGCCGGCGGCGGCTTGCGCAGGGCGTAGCGATGCCTTCCCCCCTCTCTTCGCGGCTGGAGCTCCCGGTCGAGATGGCAGTCGGGCGGCTGACCGCGGCGGGCGATGCGCTTACTCGCTTCGAGGTCGCGCTCAGCTTCAACCTGACCGCCGCGGCGGGCGTCGCCGTCCCGCGCGCGCCCTCGTGGGTGATCAACCTCATCGTTTGGGTGGTAGCGCCATCGATCTGGAGCAGATACACCGGCGCGCTCTCCGCCCTGCGCACAGGCGGCTCCGCCCTCGGCAGGCGGCTGCGGACGGACAGCACCGGGCTGTACAAATTCGTCGGTCGCAGCAGCGGGCAGCAGCCCGCAGCAGCGCAGGAGGATCCCAGTCCGCCCAAACAGGCGAGGGGTCGTTCTCGCGGGTGGCGGTTTTGGCAGCGCGGCACTGATGGGACGGCGTGACACACTGGAGGACACCTTTTGCTTGTGCTTGTGGTTTGGTTCACGTAGTATAAAGACACATGCGCGTTCTGCGGGAGTCAACTACGGCTGAGAGAGCGAGAGAGCGCTGCGGGGAGGGGACGCTACGTCACGGGACACCGACATTAGACGTCGCGGTGCCTCCGCAGGCCAACTCGCAGTACTACTTGTAGACTATCGTGACGTCCTTATCGGGCACCTTGCCCACGCACACCTTGACCATCCCACCTCCCATCTTGACCTGACACGTCTTGCACGTCCCTTCGTTGCAGCTGTACTTGATAGGAATCCCCGCCGCCCTGGCGACGTCGCGGAGCTTCTGGCCCGGTACCACTGTTGACTGTTTCGTCTTGCCACTGGAGCTCTTCCACGTGATTGTCCGCTTTGTCTTCTCCTTGGTCAGTCCAGCGTTGTCCCGAGCGCCGAGCGTATCGTCGTTTGCGAAGGCGTTGGCGAACCAGTTCATCGACGGACACGCACGGCTGGGAGCGAGCCGAGCCGAGTGCAGCCGTGGCGGGTGCGCAGGTGTCACAGCGGCGGAGGCTGAGGCCAGCACCAGAGTGGCGAACCACATCACAGAGGCAAGCCGAGGCTCTAGCTCCACACAGGAGCGACTTCGTCGAAGCTGCGAGGGGAAGAAAAATCCCTGCTCGCGTAGTAGGTGTTACCTCACACGGTCTATTGCAGAGACAAGGAGGGCCCACAGCACACACACCAAGAGTACATGCGCTGCACTGGACATCAGAGGGCCAAGGGTTGGATCAAGCAGTGGGAAGGGACTCGAGGTGACGCGCGAGCAGAGACCTACACCTCCACGCGCTCCGCACCGCCGCGCCGATCTTCGCGCCGCATAGCGTTCGATGTGCATATACAAGAAGGGGAGAAAAAGAGCCCGGCGGTACGGGGTACGCTGTGACCTGTGTGGGCTAAACAAACGACAAACACATGGTGGTCTGCAGCGGCGGCGCGAGGGAGCCCCGCAAGGCCCGGTGTCGGCGCGAGAAACGCAGCATCGCAGCACCGCATCGGGCTGAGCGCATCGGCGCGGGCGATGTGGAGCGTCAGTGCTCGGCCGTCTCATAAGACTTGAAGACACCTGAGTGGGTCCGGGGCATTCAATGCTCTGACTTGGCGCGCGGGCAGCCTGGGTAGGGCAGGGGGGTACGTGGAGTTAGGGGGAGGTCGGCACCCAGCGCTTGGGCTCCTCCAAAGAGGAGGCAGCCAGCAAAGGCCGCCCCGAGGTTGCTCGCGCGCAAGCCGGGCAGCGTGCCGGCGACGCAGCCGGCGGCGACCACGTTGGCGTCGGACGGGCCGTTGACCATGTGTGCTCCCGCCTGCGCCGTTGTCGCGCCGGCGGTCAGACGCACCCGAGCGCAGATGCGGGGCGCACACGACCGGGAGGGGTATTCACGGGGCGCACCTCGGTCGCGGCAAAGACGGCACCGATTGTGCCAAGCAGGGCAGCGTGCGAGCCCATCAGCCGGGCGGCGTCGGTCAGCGGCGCCGGCCCGCGGTTCAGCTTCCACGCCGACTCGGCAGCTCCGACGACCGCGCCCAGGCACGCGCCGGCGGCGGCAGTGGTGACGGTGTCGCGGACGAGCTCCGGCTCGGCCTCGCTCGGCGCCCTGTGCGCGGGGACGCCAGCACGCGGGGGAGGGGAGATCGGGCGGTGGCGGGTTGGAGAGGGGCACGGGAGAGGGCAGCACACACATGAACGCGGGTCAGCGCCTGTGAGCTTCCAAAGCCGCAAGAAACATTCCACCCCTGATATGATCCTGTGTGAGCTCTGTGTCTTGTTTGCCAACAACATACCTAGAACTAAAAATATCTAGATCCCGCGTAATTTCTATTCTCCGGCTACGAGTACGACCTCCTTCGTGGCTGGCCCGAGTAGTGGTCGCCCTCGACCATCTCGCACCCACCCGCGACCGCTCGCAGCACTCTACAGGCGAACACACACATGTCTGCTCCCGAAAGCGCAGACGACGCCTTGGCTCATTCTCTGCTCGCGGCTGCGTCGTCGGGCGACACGGCCAGCGTCGAGTCGCTCCTCGCCGGAGGATGTGACCCTTGCTTCCAAGAGGACGAGGGTGGCTGCTCGCCGCTGATGCTCGCCGCCGCGGCCGGCCATGCGCCGATCGTCCGAGCGCTGCTGGCGGCCGGCGCGCCGTGGAACGCGGTCGACCGGCGCGGCCGCTGCGCGGGCAACCACGCGCTCGATGCGGGCCAGCAGGCCATCGTCGACCTCCTCGTCGACGAGGCTGTGCGCGCGGAGCTCCTCCTCGGGGCGGCAGAGCGGCGCACGCTCACGGCGCTCAAGAACTCGGAGTACCTCTCGCGCGGCGTCAAGTACGACGGCGACCGGCTGATCGACGAAGGCGACGATGCCGTCATGATGGAGTGGGAGACGCCTCTGATGGAGGCGCACGCCGAGCGCCTCTGCGCGGCCGGCGCCGGCGGCGCGGACGTGCTCAACGTGGGGTTTGGGATGGGCATCATCGACTCGGCCATCCAGAGGCGTCGCCCGCGCTCGCACACCATCATCGAGGCGCACCCGGCCGTGCACGCGCGGATGGTGCGAGACGGGTGGACGGCGCGCCCTGGCGTTCGCGTGCTCTTTGGCCGCTGGCAGGACGTGCTCCCAGGGCTGGAGGAGGCGAGCTTTGACGCCGCGTACTACGACACGTACGGCGAGCACGACGCCGACATGGCCGACTTCCACGAGCAGCTGCCGCGGCTGCTGCGCGCGGGAGGCGTCTACTCTTTCTTCAACGGGATGTGCCCGTTCAACGTCTTCTTCCAGGGCGTCGCCTGCGCCGTCGTGCAGCTCGAGCTCAAGGCGCTCGGCCTGGAGACCTCCTTCACGCCGGTCGCCGTCCACACCGGGCCCGAGGCGCAGTGGACAGACATCAGGCGCAGGTACTTTCTCTCCGACACCTACTATCTCCCGCACTGCGTACTTGGCGAGCCAGCCGCTGCCGCCGCCGCCGACGACGACTCCGCTGCCGGGGCCGCTGGCCGCCGGCTCGCCTCCCTCAACCCTCAGCTGATGGTGCGCCGCCCGCCGCTCGCCGCCCGACGAGGCGACGACGCTGCCGCCACCCCGTCCGCCCACTCGGCCGCCCACCCGCCACAGGCGCTGCTCGCCGAGTCGCTCGCGCCTGCGCTTGGGGAGGGCGGCGCTGCCGACGGCGCGGTGGGCGCGGAGGGCGCGGTCGGCGCGGTCGGCGCGGTCGGCGCGGACGGCGCGGACGGCGCGGAGGGCGCGGACGCGGCGCGGGTGGCGTCGCTGCGGCGGCTCGTGCGGGAGCAGCTTTTGCCCCCCCTCGAGAAGGCGGGGTGGCGGGTGGCGGCGCGGCTCGAGGCGCTCTGGGCCGCCGCCGATGCGGTAGGGGGGGCGACGCCACCGGAAGAGGGACTTGACGCGAACTCGGCGGCGGTGCTGCGGCACGTGGCTTCGCTGCGCGGCAGCGGGTGTGGCTTCGGCGGGGAACTCGAGCTCGCGCTGCTGCCGAACCCGCTCGGCGGCGCCACCGCCAAAGCTGACTCGGCGGAGGCGGGCCTCGACGGCGGTGGCAGCGGCGGCGGCGGTGGCGGTCGGTGCCGCGGCGAGGATGGAG